TGAAAAGCAACCTGAAATACAAAACTTTACAGAGAACTTGGCAGAAATTCTCGAATGAAAATTATTTATTTCGAATTAGTTGGGATTAAACGACCAAAGGTTCGAACACTTTTAACTTATGTGATTCGCATAGTTTATATATATATATATATATATATATATTTCTTTTCTTTCACATTTTCTACTTTCCTATCTCCAAATTGACAACTTATGAGTGCACTTTTAAATTCCGACGGAAGCATGACAATAGAGGATAGTTAACTATTTAAATTTGAAGCTATCGTTATTGCTTTGGATACTCCTGACGAAGTTCTCATCATCTCAGCAGTAGTTGTAGGGATGGACTAACGTCCACTGGATCTATTTTGTAATTCTTGTGATCATTTTTCAGGTTTTCAACTTGGTGTATTCAATAAAGTCACAGATTGCACACTGACTGGCGAAAAATCCATGGCTATTCTTACTGTTTTTGCTACTGACTGAACGCTACCGTATGGACGCACAGACTTGGAATATTCCAATTTTAATAATTTATTATTGCATTCCAACATAAATCCATAGCTACGTACCGTTTTGAGAGTGAATTTCAATTTGGGCTGAAACGGTGTGTGAAAGGAAGCGACGTTGAAAGTTAGAATGGATGCAGTTTTTGTATAAATAGAAACTAATGAATAGTTGACATTAAACATCAGTGGCTGTACAGTAATTGCTTCCTTTAATCATTGATTAATTCATTTATTCTTCAGTCCTATGCTTTTTTTTTCACTTGTGAAATGACGTAGATAAAGTATGAAACTTGGCCTTTATAAATCGTATCACGTGAAAAATATATGTAACATGCTTTTCCTACGTTATTGGATCAGAAAGTTTGTTCGCTGTCATTTCTTATCTAATAAAATCGATTCAGGATGCTGAAGAAAAATTCAAAAATATCTTATTTACGTCACGTGGTCGTTAAATCGTAGTCTTCCTGATCAAATTTTCGTGATCAATTCGCTTAAGCCGGAATCAAAAACAGAAATATTACTATAAGCTGGTAAGTTTCGCATGAATTGTATGAAACATTAATGTCATTTAAATAACGAAGAAGCATCCAAAAATGTATACACCAGTCATCAATCACTGACAATTCCCGCTATGCTGACTTCTTCCCAACTTTTAAGTTACACCTCATGTAGCGTTACGTCGACAACAATGGTACGACGGCAGTGTCGATGCTTGTCTGAATCAAATATGTATCATCAAAGATCAATTTTTTCGTTTCGAGGTATGCGGCTTCCATGGGTCATTGATTGGGTTATATAAGTTTCCGAGGCATGTCATTACCTTCAAATCGACGGATACCCAACACATATGTATATCCACGCGCACATCATATACTCTATTCAATTATAATTTTTGTCTATTTATTCCATTAATTTCCAATTTTCATTATCATATCAATCAGTTCATCACCTCATTTATCTGGAGCTATCATCAAACACAACATTCCTAAAAACTGCCTCTTCAAAGTATGTTAGCGAAAAAAATATGCGCGTTATTTCAGAAAGTAAACTGTGCGCAATATTATTTCACTTTTCCTGATTTTGATTTTGTAGGCGGAAGAAGTTGGATGTCCTCAATTAATTAGTGAAATATTGATTTTCCGGATTTCTAGATGAATATTGATAACTGATCCGTTAGCTGTGAAAAGTTTCGGAATATCTGGCTTTGATTATATTCAACTATACCAACATCTAGTTAATTTACAATTTTAAATACATTTATAATTTTTGTTTAAAAAAAAGAAAAAAAGCAGATAATGTCGTCAGGATATTTACTAACTATAGTTTGGCAGTGCAACTAATATTGGGCACAACCATTTGGCAGTAATCAAATTTTATTATCGCCTGTTCTCATCACTCAATCATTTATAATTAGTTGTTTTAGTTGTAAATGAATTGATCGCAAATCAACTACAAAATACAATTTTCATGCAAATTTTGAATCTTTCTATCTTCCTGCAAATAATGGTTTATTCTATCTGTATCAAACTATTGACATTTCTAAAAAGAAATAAAAATTATCAAATCTACTCAATTTATTTATTTAAATATTCATCCTTTTTTTTCTTTCGTACAAAATTCGAAAATGCTATCGAATGTATTTGGATTAAATTTAATCTATTGCTATGAATCATTTCCTTCTATAATTTTGTGCCCTATTTCTAGAAAACTACATATACCTGTTTTATTTTTCGTAAAAGCATTTCTTCCAGGCAAATACAGAGAATAAATATACCAAAATGATTCAGTGTTAATATTGCTAGTTTATGGTTAAATCTTTTTCACATTTTATATTTAAGACATGTTATGGTATAATTTTCAAGATTATGAAAGTTTCCTTTTTTTAACTCTCTCCCTTCTTGACATATTTTGCCTGTCTTTACTTCTTTCTAACCATAATAACGAGTAAGCAAAGTTTCCTACAATGACAGAAAAAGATTTCTTTATTTTTAATTTTCATAAAAGTGAATGCAGAAATTTTCAAAATTATAACATATAGAGGAAATAACGATCTTTTAACTCATAATGATAAGTAAGATAATAGAAATGAGAAAGTTAATTAGGTGAATAGGCAAGGAAGTAAATAAATACACTTAATTTAATAAATAAGTCTAATTCAGTAAATGGGCACGTCTAATTGAATAAATGGGAATGTTTAATTCGGTAAATGAGTATACGATTTATTCAATAAATTGGTATGTTATTTAATTCAAGCTTCATATTGGCAAAATTTATATTCCACTGTTTACCTTTTTTTTTTTCTTTCGCCATCATATTAGTTAAAACAAATATGAAATCCATTTCAAATGTTTATGTTTATGTATATTATGTGTGTGTCAGTGTCTGTACTTGTACGTTTACAATTGTCTGTAATTATATACGAATTGGAAAAATGATGGCTGTTCAAGTATACATGATAGAAGAAAAAAGTTTTTGCGTACAGACACATACACAGACAAAGGCAGACGTACGAAAGCGCATACACACATAAATAAATTATATATATATATATATATATATATATATATATATA